AGCCCCTAGAAGGAAGAAAAATAAAACAAAAAAGCCACCGCCGAGACAAACGTCTCGACGCGAGTACTTGCGTAATATTTTGGTTTAGGTTTCATTTTCCGGCTGGCTCTATCTTCGTAAAACAGTAAGTTATTGTTCTTCTTCTAAGTATATTTTTTGTTCCTAAATATCCTAAATTCTCTCTCTGTCTCTCTCAGGTATTTAGAATTTATTTATTTTTATTCAATATTTTAATACTAAATATTTCCTAAAATATATATTACATTATAAAAAATGGCTAGTACTTCTGAGAGGAATCAGAGTGAATCCGACATGGATTGCGATGAAATAATTTGTGATTTATCCGATACTTCTGATACCGAAATTTATAGTTATCATGACACAGACTCTGAACAGAATTCAGAGGCGGATGAAGAATTACCAAATGATGATTCTGAATTTTATTTTGGAAAGGATGGTGTCACAAAATGGAAAAATACAATGTGGCAGAAAACCCAGATTCGTACAAGAAGTGTAAATATAATTTCTCAATTGCCAGGGCCTAAATCTGAAGCAAAATCGATAGAATCTGAATCGGATGCATTTACAAAAATAATTGATAATGAAGATTTCTCTAGAGAAAGAGATGCCAAATTAACTACTGTAACAGAAATCCTAGATTTATTTGGACTTTTGATAATGTCAGGTGTCAAAAGAGCTGCTCATTTAACTTATAAAGAGCTATGGGCGGTGGATGGCTCAGAAGTAGAAATTGTGAGAGCAATTATGTCACAAGAACGTTTTTTATTTCTTCTACGTTGCTTGAGATTTGATGATATTACAACAAGGAAAGAACGAAAAAAGCTGGACAAACTTGCTCCAATTAGAGAATTTGTAGAAGCCTTTGTATATAACTGTAAAAAGCTCTATACTCCAGGTGAATATAATACAATTGATGAGAAGCTCATTCCATTTCTTGGCAGTTGTGGCTTTAGACAGTATATGCCCAACAAACCTGGAAAATATAGGCTCAAAATTTATACCATTAGTGATGCAAGAACATTTTATACCTTTAAATTTGAAATATATTGTGGAAAACAACCCGATGGTCCATATAAAAAAGTAATTCACCCGATGATATCGTAAAAAGATTGATCACTCCAATATCTGGGACAAGCCGAAACATAACAACAGACAATTGGTACACTAGTTATAAATTATCCCAAGATCTTCTTACAGAACATAAACTCACTTTAGTTGGCACTTTGAAAAATAAAATAAAAAGGAAATCCCTAAAATATTTCTGCCCAATAGGAATAGACCAAAATATAATAGTATATTTGGCTTCACTCAGAATACCACCCTTGGATCTTATGTCCCAAAAAAGAGCAAGGTTGTTCTATTGCTCTCAACAATGCACTCAACTCCCACAATTAAGGAAGAAAGTGGATTCAAATTAAAACCTGAAATTGTAACATTTTATAATTTGACTAAAGGCGGGGTTGACATGGTGAACCAAATGTGTGGAACTTATTCTGTTGGCCGTCGAACCAACAGATGGCCTCTATGCCTATTTTTCGACCTTCTAAATGTTGCAGGCATAAATTCAGAAATAATTTTCAAGTCTTTAAATATAAATTCACCTCGAGTTCCAAGAATAATCTTTTTGAAAAATATTTCCCTACAATTATTCCAGGATCATTTAAAAATTCGATCCCAATTGAAAAACTTGCCAAGAAGTCTCCATGACCTGAAAATATTGCATTGCAAGAAAGCTGAAAATCCAGAGAGAAGTTATATATATTTTATAAAATTATTTAAAATGATAAACATAACAATCTTTTGTTTACCACAGATCGAAATGAGTGTAGAGTCAGAACCTAAGAAGCGAAAACGGTGCTATGTTTGCCCAAGTACCAAAGGTAGTATGACACAAATTATTTGCTACAAATGCAGGAGACACATCTGTCAACATCATTCTTCGAATATTTGCAAAGATTGCGAATAATATCCGTCAGCAACTTTTAATAGTAGCCTATTTGTAAAACTATGTCAAACATTCATTGTTTTTACTATAGTCATTGTTTCAATAAAAATAAATAAATATAAAAATATTTTTTGCCTTAACCCTTAAGTACTCGCGCGGGGTGTATCACACCCCAAGCTATCACTTTACCTCAAGAAAATCATTAAATCCTTAACCAAAATCTTCCAATTTTTCAATAGCTTAATATTTCAATGTGCCAAATAGACATGTCAAATTTCAACAAAATTAATAGAGGGAATATATTTGTAATTTATTCTTTTTGCTAGAATGGGGTGTGTCACACCCCGCGCGAGTACTTACGTAACAAAGTTTTGTAATCAGCCCGAATATGATACTGCTGAATTCTCACGCACCATGAGTCATTTCCCCTACCTTTCAGTGTCAATTTAGTTTCACTTTGCCCATCATCTAAGCTTACTTTGATCCAATATTATAATGGATAGCAAAAATATTCAATCACTTTTTAGCTTGTTTGATGAGGAAGAAGAAGATTTTGATGAGCTAGATGATGATAACTTTAGTGATGATGAAGAATATATCCCCCATAGCTCAGATTCAGAACAAGAAGAAGACGATGAACAAGAACCACATCAGGATTCTACGTACTTCTTTGGAAGAGATAAAATGACCAAATGGAAAAAGGAAGAATGGAGAACATCAAGGGTACGTACAAGAGCTATAAATATTATTACACACTTACCTTGTTCTAAACAATTTGGTAAGAACACTCCAACTCCATTAGAAGCTTTTTTGAAATTTATTAGTATTGACATAATCAAAAAAATAGTTGAATACACAAATATTTTTATTGAGACCATCAGGCCAAATTATAGCAGGGAGAGAGATTGCCGCAATACAGATAAAAATGAAATCCGTTGTCTGCTCGGACTCATAATAATAATCGGAAAAAATCGTGCATCGCATTTGCATTTCAAAGAAATTTGGAATGCAAATGGCACTGGTATAGAAATATGCAGAGCAGCAATGGCCTACGAACGATTTTTGTTCCTTTTGCGAGTAATTCGATTTGACAATGTCCTTACTAGACAGATCAGAAGAGATAATGACAAATTTGCTGCCCTGAGGGAAATTTTTGAAATGTTTGTTGCCAACTGTAAACAAATGTATTCCCCTGGCGAATATTTAACAATCGATGAAAAGCTTATTCCTTTTAGAGGGAAATGTAATTTTCGCCAATACATACCAAACAAACCTGCAAAATATGGCTTGAAAATGTACATGATGTCTGATGCACACACGTTCTATACTGTGAATATGGAGCCGTATGTTGGTAACAATCGTGGACCTTTTTATAAATCCAATGCTTCTGATGATGTTGTCAAAAGATTGGTGGAACCAGTATCAGGAACAAAACGAAATATTACCACTGATAACTGGTATACAAGTTTCCCACTAGCTCAAAGTTTGTTGACTGAACATAACTTGACCCTCGTTGGAACTTTGAAAAAAAAATAAAAAGGAAATTCCTGTAGAGTTTTTACCCAACAGGAATAGACCTATCTTTTCTTCAATTTTTGGCTTCAATGAAAATACAACTCTTGTATCATATGTCCCCAAGAAATCAAAATCAGTTATCCTATTGTCAACAATGCACTCAACAATGACAATTGACGAGGACACAGGAGATAAAATGAAGCCGGAAATAGTCACTTTTTATAACCAAACCAAGATAGGCGTTGATGTTGTTGACCAAATGTCGGGGACCTACAGTGTAGGACGACGCACAAGAAGATGGCCTCTGTGTATTTTCTTTGATCTCGTCAATGTTGCAGAAATAAATGCACAAGTACTTTACAACGCAAATCACCTGCAAGAAGAACCCATTAAAAGACGCCACTTTTTGGAAAAGATCGGACTGAGTTTGATAGATGAACATATCAAAGAACACCTTTGCATTGTGTCACTACCTAAAGATATAAAACTTGCTCTTCGAAGGATAATTGGAGTGGCAAATGAACAAACAGTAAGTAAAAATGTTATTTACCAATATAAATAAACATGATAAATTTTATGATGGTTTTTTTTAGGTACCAGGACAATCAGAACCACTTTCAAAAAAGCAAAAGCGATGCCATCTTTGTGACCGATCTAAAGATAGGAAAACAAAGACTACCTGCAAAAATTGCAAAAGAAATATCTGCAATAATCATTCCTTCATTATGTGTGCAGAATGCTTTGAAAATTAATGAAAAAAATATAAGATTTATTTTTGTGAATAATGAATATGCATAAAAATTGTAAATGCTTATAGGATTTAGAAAACATGTACAAGCACTGGAATAATTAAATATTTTATTATTTTATTTACATTTTAATTAATATCCATTCTTTTCTCTATAATATAAATATAAATACGTTGTATTTGGCTTACATTATATATATTAGATTTAGGTTTATATTTTGGGGTGTGATACACCCCGCGCGAGTACTTATGTAACAAAAAATGCCGCGAGTACTTAAGGGTTAATTCACATGTGTCATAAACTACACACAATTACGAATATAATGCAGCCTAATTTTCAATACAAATATTAATATTTAACATATATTTCGGTTTTTTAAAAGTGAGACCTGGATCTCAACGTGAGTACTTACGTAACAAATATAGGCGCGAGTAATTAAGGGTTAAAATAAAAACCTCTTTGATACCTTAAAAGTAATATTTTCATAATTTGTTTTTCAAATATCATTACTCCTTCTCTAAAACAACTATCTTTCATATATATTATCTTCAATTCTCTTTTTCTCACTATATATATATATATATATATATATATATGGTAATTTAAGAATAATAAAACACCTGTGTAAATACTCCCCACCTCTTCTTACACCCCCTACTCTAATTGTCATTGTACCCAATCCTCATTTAATCCATTAACTTTGTATGTTTCGTTTTGGTGTGTTCAAATAAAAACAAAGGTACATCTAGAGAGAACGTAGAAACCAAAACCAAACTACCGAAACCAAAACCTGAGATCAATCGCCAGACACCGCGGCGCGATGTCCGATGACGTAACGCTTGAGCATATAAAAAGGGCTTGCCCGCAACCAATCAGAGTTAGTCAGTTCAGTGTTGCAACATAGCAGACAGCAGCAGCAGACAGTTCGTTAGTAGGTGGCCCGCCGGCCGCAAGGTCGCTGCGTTCTCTCTGCGTTCTGCTTCGGGTTACCCTTTGAATCGTCTCTGTGTGCTTTACCACTCACCTCCATCACGACTGCGCAATCACCATCTTACCCCACGACTCAATACAGCAAACCAAAATACCACATCAATGGAAGAAAGTTGACATAGAGTCCAAAGCATTCAACAGGATTCGACAGTGAGTTGACAGCATTCGACATAAAGTCGAGAGGATTCCACGTAAAGTCGACAGCACTCGACATATATATATATTTTATGATTTTTTTTTGTTTTGTTGTTGAAAAGAGGAGCAGTCGTGAAAAGGTAAAGATAATTATTTACCTTTCAAGTAGATTTTATTTTGGATTACTTGAAGTAAAATTACACATAAAATTATTTATCACAGTAATATAGAATTTATAGAATGAATTCTATAATCGTGATTTAAAAAAAAGGTAGGGTTAACTATACATATTTACAACAATAATAATTAAAGAGGTATATTCTAAATCTATGGTCAAAAAATATACAACAGTCAATGAATGAAAATGAAATATATGTTTTTAAAAAAATAAAATATTTGCATTTTAGATTATATATATATACTAGCCGAATGGCCCGGGCAACGCCCGGGTTTTACCCGACTGGACCCGGCTTCGCCTGGGTAGTGTTCGAGCGAGGTTTACTCATGAATGAATAGAGGCCCCAACTGTTTGTAAACTCAATGTAATGAATTTTCTTTCAGCAAAATGGAGATAAATTTTAAACAGCAATATCGAAAATGCTTGTAAAAAAATCTGAAATATAGGATCAATTTCACAAACACATCGAATGAATAGAGTGCTGTTTGGAGGAGTGGTCTAAACTGTTAATTTTTAAAAACCATGACCCGGGGTCATCGAATGCAGATTCAGACACTTTGTTCTGAAAAAAAAATTGCCCCAATGGCTCCTGATTCTTGAAAAAGTCCAACCCCTCCAGTGAGTGCAAGTAACCAAACTGGGCTTTTATTCTTAAAAATAAAAAAAAAAATCTAATGATTAGTGTGAATAAAGGAAAATGGTCGGCACAACCTGAAAATTTCACTTTGTCCACTTCACTCTCGGCTGTCCAAGAAGAAACAGCCAGAGCAAACATTTTAAAGGGCACCTAATCCGGCATTTACATATCTAAATAGTTAAGCAACTTTTATAAATGTAATATATTTCTGCAATATTGAAATACCTGGACTTGGAAGAATTTTGTAGTTATTGTTGCAGTTTTAGAAAAGTGTGGGAAATTGGATATTTTAACAAAAGAATATAATTTTTAAAATGGTATATAAAATAAAAAGGAAATTTGCATAATTTTCTAATAGTCAAGGGCAATTGTAAAAATACCAAAAAAGCAAGACCAAATAAAAAATATATATATATATATATGTGTGATGTTTCAGTAACAGCATTGTTGCCATATAAAGACAAAATTACTGAATGTATTCAGTACCTTTGTCTTAAGATAGCCAAAATGTAATTGAAACCACACATAATGTAATTATTTGTATTCGGTCTTGCTTCCTTTTTTTTTAATTATCCCTAGTACGCGTGGTACAGGCCTTGATAACCATGGTGGGTAGGTAGCGACTGCTTTTACTGTAAGCGCACCACATGTCTACAAATGTGATACATTGCTACCAGCTAAATGCATTTTCACTCTGGTGTGATTTCCACATGATGGATCTGTAGACACATTATAATCTCTCCAGAGCTTAAGGTAGCAAACAGTACTTTCACATTATATAAATATCAATGCCAAAAGCCAGAGTTATGATAGCATGTTGCAATGTAATGTAGACCTGCAGGATGGGAAAAAGCAATATTATTTCCGGCTTTAATTTGAAAAGTATTATGAAACGTTAAAAATATAATCTTAACTTTTGAAACATGAAAAAATGCTAACTTGATGTGTATCAATTTAGTCTAAAAACAAACAGCATGTAAAAGTAAGCACCAATCGAAAGCATTTATTAGCTCTAACAGTGCTGCCCCCAGCGGTAAAAGACTGGAGCTAACGCTTCACGGGTTGGTAAAGTTTCTGTTAATATTACATTAACTTAACAATATTCCATGTCTTGCTAACACAAATTTTTAAGAATAATATGCATAAAAATAATGCAATTATAAAAATCATAAATGAAGCATCATTAAATTAAATGGGAGAGAAATGGTGTTCCAAAATTTTTTTTTGTTGTAAAACTTTGACCTTTATATTTTTACAAATTCTTAATGTACATAACCCAAACCAAATTGTCTATAAAATTCTGCAAACAAATATAATATTATAGAGGCATGAAAATACTAATGGTGTAAAAATCAAAACAGCAAAGTTATCCTGATAAATGCAATGAGCTATGATAAGGTGTGTTGCAGGCTAACAAAAACCTTAATTGAACCAGAAATGTTGATACCATAAAAAAATATATATATTCAAGAATAGAGTTATGTAAATGAATTAAATGTGAAAAAATTAAAATAAAATAAAGTAAAAAAAGCTTTATTGATGAAACTACAGTAGAGCAATAATGATAACAAATTATTTACAAATTATGTATTTACAAAAGTCAAGCTTCCCAAAATCATTATTCGAAGAAATCTCTTTAACACTTCGAGGACGCAGGGCGTCAATTAACGTCCTCGCGAAAATGGCACAGTGCCCGCAGGACGTATATTAACGTCCTACTTTCTTAAAAATCGGTATAAAATCATAGCGCGCGCTACGTCCCGTGGCCACTTGCCCCCCTGCAAGTTTAAACATGCCTCTAGGTCGTTCACCACTTTGCCACGTGATAGGGTGGATGGCTGACCAATTAAATTGAGTTTTGAGTGCGCGCTTCCTCGAGTTTCCTCCCCTCCCAACCTCTACTGACCTATTTTTAATCTGCCGTCATTTGCCAATTGTACTTTGCGCGCTTCTTCTTGTCACGTTTTTTTTGCTTAATATTTTTATTTGAAGTTTCTAATATTTTCAATAGACATTTTTGGATAAAAATGAATCCTGATCAGCCCAGTACATCCAAAGTTATCTCCTCTTGCCCATCTCCAGAGTGGGAGATGTATGACCCCCATCTTTTTGATTCTGGATCAGAATTAGATGATTCTTTTGAGGATCCAGATTTCACACTCCATGCTAACTCTGATGAAGATATTGATTCGGATTCAACAGAAATATATTTGGAGGGACCAAGAGATGAAGAGGCTCCTGCAACAACAAGGTCTCCTCTGGTAAGTGATGACTGGATTGAAACTACTACATCCACGATACCCAGACCTCTGTTTACTGCCCAACCTGGACCAAGGGCCGAGTTATTTCCAGAACCCAACTCTCCTTACCAGATATTCAAAAAATTTATTGATGAGGATTTTTTTGGTAATCTGAAACTTGAGACTAACCGCTATGCTAGGGCAACCATAGACAGAGAAAGAAAAAAGGGTCCTTTGAATCCTAGGAGTCATTTAGAAATGTGGAAAGCTGTTTCTGTGTCTGAGCTCAATATATTTATGGCTATAATAATTCACATGAGCGTTGTTGTAAAGACCAGATTGAAAGATTATTGGTCAACCCGCAGTGAACTTAGGACAACTTACTGCAGAGATGTGGGGATGATCAGACCACGGTTTGAAGCCATTCTCTCCATGCTTCACCTAAATGACAACGCTTCCTATGTGGCTTTTGGTCAACCAGGCCATGATCCTCTCTATAAAATTAGGACATTTCTTGATCCTCTGGTCCACAAATTCAAAACATATTACTATCCCTGCCAACCTTTGACTATTGACGAAGCTATATGTCCTTTTAGAGGAAGAATACGGTTCAGAATATATATCAAAGGAAAGCCACACAAATATGGGATAAAGATATTTGAACTTTGTGAATCAAGTTCAGGATATGCCTACAACATAGAAGTGTACACAGGGAAGCAGCCTGGTCAAGGTGCAGACTACAATTCGACCTTAAAACTGGTGGAAAGGATAGCGGCTCCATACTTCAATAGAGGACATGTTATATACTTTGACAGATGGTTCTCCTCTACCACACTTTTTCAATTTCTCTGGAGAAACAATACCCAAGCTGTGGGAACAATAAAAAAAATAGAAGAGGCTTGCCAAAAAATGCATTTTCCAAAAAATTGAAAAAAGGAGAGGTAATTTACAGAATGAAAGGTCCTCTTTTGGCATTCAAATGGCATGATACTAGGGACGTTTTCATGGTCTCCACAGCACATGATCATGCCATGATACCTGTAACCAAGAAAGCCAGGAAATCTGACCAACCTCTCACCATGAAACCAGCTGCAGTATTGGACTACAACAAGCACAAGGCTGGTGTTGACAGAAGTTACCAGCTCCTCTCTTACTACTCTTTTCAGCGGAGAAATATGAAATGGTGGAAAAAGCTTTTCTTTCACATCTTTGGCCTGACAATAGTCAATTCTCATATAATTTATAATAAATTAAATCCAACATCCAAACTGTCACTCCGAGACTACCATCTTGTCATTATGGAAAAACTGGTTGAAGAAGCCGGAGTTGAGATCACAGATCAACAACTTGGTAGTTCAAGCTCAAAAGCCAGACTTTTGGAGAGACACTTCATTACAAGAATAAAAGAAGAAAACAAGCCAAATGTAAATATCCAACGAAAATGCAAAGTCTGTGCGGAAAAAGGAAAAAGTGCCACTGGAAAAAGAATAAGGAAGGACACTGCTTATATGTGCAAGACCTGCCTTGTTCCTCTGTGTATAAATGATTGTTTTGAGGCTTTTCACACCAAGGAGAAGTATTGGCTCTAATTGGCTCTTAGAAATGGCCTTTATAAATAGTTCTTACTAAATTTCAGCATGTTTTTTGTATATATAACATTTGACTATGTGTTGGAGTGAATTTAGTTTTTTTTTAATATAATTTTTAATTTTTTATTATTTTTATTTCTTTATCAAAATTCATTTTATATAGCATTAAAAATAATTTTAAACCCTATATATATTGGCTTATAAATTTGGCATATATTACTAAAATAAATATATTAAATTTTATTTTTCATAAAAGTGTCGTTTTTACTGCGTCCTGGTGGACCATGAGGTCTGCTTAGGCTGCGTCCTCGAAGTGTTTTAAAAAATTGTCAAAATCTAGATCAAAGCCCCCTGATAAACAATATTGCGTGTCTTCCTAAAAGTAGAACTAAAGACAAATAAATTTTTAGGGCTGGAAACACGGGAGCATGCTACATAGAGTTGCCCATGCGAGAAACAGGGAGACTCAAGATGCACACCAACTACTTGCAATGTTTGACCCTGAGATTTATTAATTGTCATAGCAAAGGCAACCATAACTGGGAATTGCAAGCGTCTAAACTTAAAAGGCAGATCATTTGGAATAATAGGTATTCTAGGAATAAGGACCTCTTCCCCTCGAAAAGAGCCAGTTAAAATTCGAGCCTGGAGAACATTAGTGCCCATTTGAGTGATGCATAATCTAGTGCCATTGCAGAGACGGGGTGGATCAAGGTTTCGTATTAAAATTACTGGCACACCAACTTTTAGTACAATTTTGTGTGAAGGTGTGCCAGACAATTCTAGTGAATTTAAAAATTCAGGGGGACACGACACAGATTCATCAGGATCAACCATTGTATCAATTGATCTATAGATTTTGCTTTCACCCGGGATTGAATTTAATATTGTATTATTTATTTCTAGCACAGTGCTATTTTTGGGGGCTAAAACAGTGCGGGCACATAACCATTCTTCAGATAAATAGTTTACACCTATATTAGGGAAAACTTTTTCATACAGACTTTCTGAAGATTCCACCACTTGGCAAAAAGTATTTGAAAACTGGATATTACCCTCGGAATCAGTTTCTAGTTGACCTTCTCCTATCTTTAAGAGTTCGTCTGCAAATTGTGCAGCAGTGGTATCATTATGGAGGTGAACTCTCATGTTGACTGTGAGGTGCATTTTCACAATATGGCTCCAAAGATAAGAAGACTTTAAACAGGCATTCAGCTCATCAGCAGGTGTACCTCTAGTGACTACTGGAAGAGTCTGTCGGAAATCACCGGCCAAAAGCACTACTAAACCACCCATGGGTTGTGGATCATCACGGATATCCTGTAATGTCCGTTCAAGGGCTTCCAAGGCAATTTTATGGGCCATGGTGCACTCATCCCAAACCAGCAACTTACAGCTACGTAAGAGTGAAGCTTTATCACTATTTTTTCGTATATTGCAAACAGCAGTCTGGCCCTCTGCAAAAGTCAGAGGTAATTTCAGCACTGAATGTGCAGTTCTTCCGCCCGCAAGCAATGTTGCAGCTATCCCTGAGGAAGCAACAGCAATGGCAATATTTTGTTCCTTCCTAACCATTGCTAATAGAAGATTCAAAAGAAATGTTTTAACTGTTCCCCACGGCGCATCTAAAAATATAATTATGGGTTGTGACAAATTAATTTTTGCTAAGACAGCATCAAAAACTCTTCTTTGTTCTGGCAAGAGTTTGGGCAGCATGGATGCAACATTGTCTTCAAGTTCTGCCGTATCATACGCAAGTTCTCTCAAAATGTCAGAATTGGTAACCACATTTCCCCTGGGTGCTCCTAAGCCTAATTTCTGCAGTTTCTTCCCACATATAGATACGACACGATTCTCAATGTTACACAATGTTTCATTATATATCAGATCATTATACCTGATGGAGGAATCGAGAAGCTGATAACGATGAAGAATATCACTTGCCATCTCATCTCAATAGGTAATCCATAACTGCTGAGGGTTCGAAATTGTGCAGGTAGAAATTAATATGGCAAACAATTGCCTTACTCTTGTAGGAGCCTGACAAAGAACGGCCTCATCCATTGTGACAACCCAATGGTTATCATTCTCCAATAATCCAAGAGCTGCGCATGTTTCTCTAAATGTTTCGTATTGACTGCCATTAACAATCTTCAAATATGCGAAGGAAGTTGGTTCCTTGATGTTATGTAGTAACATACGTAAACAAAAGCATTCAAAGTTACTGACATGCACAGCGTAAACCCGTCCAATAGTGTCTGATCTCTTCACTCCAGGCCGTCCTTCGACCAGCCTGCCTTGAACGCGCCTTCTCCATTCGTGGGCAGAAGAATTCCAAGTGTAGTATTGGGGAACATCTGGATAGAGCAGGGTCCTAGCAAAGGAATCAGTTTGGCATAATGAAAAAAATGCAGTCAGGGTTGTCCTTGGTGGATTACGCATTCGAGTGAGAGTGTTCGGCAAGAGTGTTTTGATTGAAATATATCCGTTCGCCATTCTCAAGATGCACAGCTAAATGGATAACAGCTGGATGGCGTTGGTGTAAAGGGAAGCTGAGAAGACGCCAAACAGCTTCATTGCTGCTTATGTATCTGGCACACTGATACATTCGCACCTCATTTTGAGGGTCAGGACCTCTACCTTCTCTGCGTAAATTAATAATAGTTTGATCACTGCCCTTATTGACATATTTGCAAATATATTTTATTGCCTTAACAGAACTACAGTTCTCAACATTGATATGTGCACAAAACATCTTCGATAGCAATGGAGAATAAGGCACCACCCAACGATTGTCAATTGTGACCTCTTCGCGTCCACGTATTCTAACCTTTGCAGTAAAGCCACCTGCTTCAGGTGCGCGTCTCCTATATAAAGGATAACCATTCTCATTAGTCTGGGTTTCCAGCAAAAACTGTTTTGGATATATTTTAGAACAGCTACTATTCTTCATACAGGGGGACACAGGGTTGTACTCACCGCAAGGCCCATGTATCATATTCTTAACCACAATGTTATACAATAGCGGGTCTTGAATAGGATCTGGAAACTCAGCACATATAACAGAGTCTATTTGAGTGGGACGGAGCTTATTTGCTAGCCAAACTAATATGTGAGCATGAGGAAGTCCCCTTTTCTGCCATTCAACAGAATACATCCACGCAACTGTTGCTCCATACAATTGGCCTTTTGTTAGAGCCCCAATAAATTTAACTAATTTTTGCCGAAAAACCCGAGCTGCGATATCATGTCTATCCAGCTGTTTTTGTCCTGGTAGCAACGCTGCAGATAGCTCTTCCCAAGAGGGGTTACTTGTAAAAGTAATAAAAAGATCTGGACGCCCAAATTTCCGAACATAACAAAAAGCATCCTGCGTATATTCTGCCAAATACCTGGGACTATTGACAAAACTTGATGGTAAAATGATCCTTTGACCCAAGCTATTAGGGTTAATATTTGCATCAGTTGACAGGGCATCGCGCAAATGAATATAACTCTCTGCACGCAAGTTTCTCTGGTGCAGCGTAATATAGCGCAAACGTTTACTTTCTACCTTAGCATACATATCGACCAGGAATTGATGAAAGAGCTGGCCAAATTGAACAATGACATTTGGACTATTTCGGCGAACCATAATAAAATAGCCATAAAAATCCATAGAAGACACTTTATTTGACAAAGGCTGTCTAGTGTTTGGGTCGATCTGAGGAATATGAAAAGAATATCCTTCTTGGCCTTTCCAGAAAATTAAAGGATATTGAAGGGCATCATAAAAGCGATGTGTGTCGCTAACATGTTGCAGCAAATTATCTCGCTGATGTAAAACAATGTCACGTGAGCCAAACTGATTACCAGCTAAGACAACCGCAACCTCATTAGTGCAGTTTTAAACTGTTGAACCAGTAGATTGTGTTGGTGCAACATGCGCTGCAAACCCTGTACAATATTACGACGTACTCCTGTATTTGCTGGCATCTTCGATCAGTCTGAATATCATCATCATCATCATTGTCCATAAAATAGATCTGAAGAAATCTACTTGACTGGTTCTCAGATGGCATAAGTGAACCTATTCTGTGGTAGACCTGGCCTTGGATAGAAAATGTGGTTGGAAAAGTAACAGAGTGGGTTTGGTTTTCAGCTCCAAATGATGTCATTTGAAAGCAGGAATTATATTTGCGAATATTACGCAAAAAATGGACTGAATCAGAATTCCTTCCAGATAATAGGCTGCGAAGTGGCTCGGGAGGTAAGTCAATTAATGGCAAACGGACTTTCCCGTTTGAACAGCACATTCCAGAAGACTCATCTTTCCATCTTAAGGCCCCACAAAACCTGCATGTAGTGTCCATAATCCCAAGGGAAATTAAAGGGTGCTTAAAGTATTCAACAGCAACAGAATAATTAAAACCTGCATTTTCCATAGAAGACCAAACGCTGCTGAAAAAATTATTTGTTCTAGTATTCCTCCGAGTAGAAGAATATATTTCTGAATGCGCCTGTAAGCGAGAATGGATGGGATCAGGTGTCTCTAACGACCGCACAGCGGCTTGACGCGCGGACTGTGCACGCAATCTTCGAATATCTGTCCTCTGGTTTCGCGCAGTCTGTAAGCATGCTGAACCCTAGAGCTATTGGAACGCTGAGAAAGATTGCTTCTCCCATGGCTTGGCATACCTACAAACACAAAGCATTAGTAAAAATAAAAATAAGGATAACTGAAAAATGTAAAACATCAAGGGCTGAGAATGAAGAAAAAAATTGAAAATAGTGTATTAAAATAAGCTCGACTCATGACTAAGGCCAAAATAAAAAAATGCATAAAAATAATCTGAAAGGAGGGGAAAAATGCATAAAACTCAGTGAAAACGTAAAACAACTGATTAAAAAAATCAAATGGAAGAAGACGTAAAAAAAAAGTATAATTTGCTGAAAAAATAGGAACAATAAATATGAGTAGAACATATATAGATATATATGAGCAGCTACATATTAGGAAGCAGATAAATATAAATACTACCTAAACAAATGACAGCAAAACAAAAAAAAAAGACAATGGAAGAAGGCCTAAAAAAAAGTCTAATTTAGTTGAAAAAACTGCCCAATAAATTGAGCCTACTCCCTAAAAAAAGCAGTTATTAAAAATGCATAGAAGCTGCTTACAATATAAATGCTAATAAGTATAAAGCTATTGCATGGAACAAACATATATAGTAAAATATATGTAGCAAGCTATACAGAAAAAAACATAATTAGAAATTCGAAAAATATTTCTAAACAATGAATATAATGATTATATGAATATATAATATAAAATGAATATTCATAAGAGAATCAAACAGTATACCTTATCTAAAAAAACGTAGTAGCAATTAAATTAGAAAAATATTTCTAAACAATAATATTTCCAAAAAGATTTTAAATAATATAAATATATATAATCTTACCTTTCGAAAAATGAAGCGTGTAATAACAAAATAAGTGTAAAGCTATTAACCAATCACAATCGAGTTCGTCGCGACCAGTGCGGCGCCAAGCGGCAAAAGGCGGGAACTAATCCATTTCAGTTAAATAATTTTTAAAAAAAGTACATTAACCTTTGTAGTTTTTTGAATAGCCTATATGTTAAACGAAATCTTCAGCTACCTACATGCGAAATTCCATAATGATTGAGTCAGTAGATTTTGCGTGATGCGATAACAAACATCGATTTCGCATTTCATTTTTATAGATATAAGGATATATATATATATATAACGCGGATGTTCAGTTTAAAATGAGTTTGATTTCTTAGAAGTAGATAGGAGAACAGCCTTGTCGAAATATCGAATTTTTAATAAATATATTTGTTATAAATATTCGCCCTCATTTTAATTAATATATATATAACCGTATATAAATTACAATATCATATTCACTATATTATGAAACAACATTCACTAGGGATTTGTAAATTATAGATATGGCCATCTCTCTCCCATTATTATATATGATGTTATATAAATGATAATAATTTAATATATTATATAAATAATTAGTTGATTACATTAACATAGTATCTAATTAGCAAATGAAATTTGCCATAAGGGATATCAGATACATAATATAACAATATTTCTTGTATGAATAATTATTATATTTATCATAATATATATCTGTGAATTTATAGAATAAATTAGGACATCAATTATTTGTTATTGGTATGATAAAACTTTATTATTATACTTGAATTTGGCATTTACACAAGCAGGTTTAGGTTGATAAACACACTCAATCCGTATTCAAGTTTTATTCATATATATATCTATAAAGACAAAGGTCGCCTCTCCCGTCAAAATAGCCGTCAAAAATAGACGCCATCTGTTGACTGTCGCCGCAAACTAGCGGCCTCGGGTAGGTGACAAAGCCACAACACCAGCTTTGGCAAACTGAGAAGCGTCCACCTAGAGACCATGGTTTCGAGCTAATGGCCCTCATCAACTTAGGGAAGACTTTATTTCATGATATCCACGAGATTGTAAGGCTTCCATTGTGTCACGTGACAATAGGCTACCAAACAGATGGCAAATAGCGGCCTTGTTTCAAGAAGACATATGGAACAGGATATTTAATCATGTCTATTATAGTCAATAATCTACAACACCAGCTTTAGAAAATACAGACAAAATACAAACCTATATACCATTGGTGTCGGTATATAAACCTCATCTATACGGAAGCGGTTTGCTATATCAAGGAAAAAATAAACTTAAATCTAAAATAAAATTTAATTTTTTAAAACTCCCTTTTATTATCCATAGTACACGTGGTACAATCCATGATGTTTATGGTGGGTAGTAGTTAGTGACGGCTTTTACTGTAAGTGCACCACATGTCTACGCATGTAGAGAGCAGTTTAACTTTTGCGCTTACAAATGTGCCAGGCTCTTTTATTTTCACATGTAATCACTGGTAGGGTTTAGCAGGCATCATGGGCCATCACATACAGGACCTGTATCCCCATCTTAGGGAGAGTTTCCTCGCGGATACCTTACCTAAACACAAGATTATTCTTGTCAAGTTCCTCAACACAGTCATCGCTGGGAACACGGATTCCATTACTCGCAAGTCTGAACTCAAGACGATTCTAAGCTCCTGATAGGATCCAGACGTCCCTTCGGAGAAGGCTTCGTCTGGTCTATATATTTTCTCTACTATTTTAAACTCTGTAAACTCTCTCTTGACCGTTGACTAGATGTCAATAAACCATTTTTAATTGTCAATTGTCAGAGATATATTTTCCTCTTCAAAAAATGTAATCAGTGCTGGGTTCGATCCCAGGTCGTATCTGACGACATTCTGAAGGTTTATACCTCTCTTCTAAAGTGGTATTCCTTTATATAAAATATAGAAAAAGTAATAATTTACGCATATAGATAGATATATGACAATTTCATTATCTTAATGTTAGAGGTTTCCAGGCCGGCAACCATTGTTCTTTAAAAAAATATACTCTTCACCTAGATTTATTTTTATTTAATTATCGTTTCAACAAAAATATTCTGTCAATCAAATTTATTTTTATTTGTTCTCCTATGAGAAAAAAATAGTTTTGTCGAAGCATCGAAAAAAATAAATACTGTAACAGCCGAAGTGTCTCTTATTTCAAAAACAATTATATTATCAATTACAAATGTGAAATTGTACTGTGATAAGGTGAATATGTTAAGAAAAAGGGCATCTAATTATCGTGCAACTGAAAGTTTCTGATGGCGTGGGTCATCTATTGGAATAAATATAAACTATCAATTGATTTTCATTGATATCATTGACAAGTATCAATTAATAGTCGATATTTATCCCG